AATATGGCATTAATTCCATTAATTAATTAATTTACCTTTAGTGGTTTCAGAGTCTCAGGTAGAAAATTGCAGAATTACTCAATCAAGACTAAATAGCTGTTGAATGGCTGTGTGTGGGTAGATTGTAAAACACCCATTTCTGGTTTATTTAGCACTTTCTAGTGTTTTTCTATTCCCTTGCTACTACTCAATAAGCTAAAATTTCAGTGACTCTTAATTTCTCAAGTTATGTAGAGATTTGACTTTGAATAACTATACTGTCTCAAGTGTTTGTTCAGATTTTTTGTATCATTTGATATCTAGCCTTGCAGACAGTCATTTAAGATATTATTTCCTTTTCCATGTTGAGTTTGCACTGTCTGTCAGCTTTTCACTGCAAGTAAGTGGTGTATAGCAGCAATTCAAAGGCTAATGTAGTTTGTACAAATCACTTGAAGATGTAATCTAATCAAATCTCTCGAGTCCTAACTTAAAACATCTGCTTTGTCCTTGTCGTCTTTGAAATGTCACTTGCTCTCCACAGCGATCATGGTGTTTGCATCATTCTCCTTACAAAGATTCTGCAGTTTTCTTCTTACCTGTTCTTTTTCTCACATCTCTAGGAATGCCTTAGAGGGAGTATCTTTAGGATTTCTGTGGGAGTTCCATACTTGTCTCCTAGATTCTGTTTTCTTTTTTCACCTCACTACATCTCTGTTTAGTCTCACCTACAAATCCAAATTGAACTTTCCAGAGTTCCTGAGAAACAAGTGTTTTAGCAAGCCTTACCTGCTTTTGCTGCAGCAGACACTGATCTATGCTGGTTTCATCTATGAGGTGAAATTTTTCACTTGGATCTGTCTGGCTTGGTGGAAGTCATGTCTGAATTCCTGAAGTTCCTAATGTGTTTTTGTTGTGCCAGTATCTTTATAGGATACCTGTACATACAAACGCATATAGATCTGCTAGTTGTGGAGTAGCAATTTATCTTGCTAGCTTTAGTTGAAATCACTCTTCACACCAGACAAACTTAAATGTTTGGTTTGATTTCAGAGCAACAAAAGGTTGAGTTCTTGACTAGTTAGTTAGAAATAGAGTTGCAGAAGAGGACAACTAAAACAATGAAGATAATTTTTGGAGAATATTTGGCAATCATGGATTTTTTTGTATTTGTCACACGAGCATTTTAGTGTGTATTTCAGGCATAAAGATGAGTAGATGGCAGCAGCCCATATTGTGGATGCTTTTTTCTTAGAAAGGGACTTCAAAATGACTTTAGGGGCTGATAAGCCCCTTTTTCTGTCCTCATCAGGCCAGTCAGGGAAACGATGCTATGACCTATATCTCCCTCTCCCCGCTGTTGCTTATGATGTCCTTCTGCTTCTCCTGATTTCAGTTTTCATGTGGTTTATTTAAATATTCCATTTAATGCAAATATGCTGAGTGGTTCCTGTACAGTCAAGGAATTAGCAATGTTCTTGGACTCCTTTGACATTTTATCTATTCCTTTGCTAACTTTGTTAACTGCTATTCTTGTTGGTCCAATTTTTAAGACTTTTAGAATTTTAGAAATGATAGATCAAAGAAATGCTCTCACTACATTCGGTAAAACTTCCACATCTTGGGGTTGCTTTAGCTTTTCACGATCAGGAAATGTTATTTATTAGTGTAGATAGCAGAATTTGTATCCAAGCACTTAATCCAGAGTACCGGTTTGTAACATTTGTGTGCTTTAGAGAATCACTGTTTGCAAATAGTTTATATCGCTTTTCACTTTTCAAATTAAAATCATTGTCTTTTTGATGTTGCATTGTGAATTTCTAGTCATTGAGTTAAATTTTACTTGGTAAAAATGGAGCTATTAATTTTCCCCCACTGTTCTCTTCTTTGTCATTCACTTCAGATGAGGAGGATGGCTGTACCGTCTGGCACGTAAACTGCACTTTGGGCCGTTCTCTAAATGTTTGTGTTTGATGTGTGTCCAAATCTTGCAGATTCTTTCCTTGAGACCTTTGTTAGATATGGCCTATCATAACCATTACCACAGTTAAAATGTTCTTGTTTTGCATCTTAATTTCAGTAATTCCTTTTTCTTGGCCAATGCAATGTTATTTAGTCATTTAGAATATTCTGCAAGATCATTTTCCTGGTTTGTAAAATCAAACTATATTTATGTATCTGATTCTCTTTCTATCCAAACTTATTTGTCTTTGCTTTTAAACTTTTCATGGCTTAAGTGCATTCTAGTATCATCCTTCATCCCAAGATATCTATTCCTGCTGTTAATTGGCTCATCATATGAGCCCACGTTGGCCAGCTGTTAGTTTTCTTTCTATAAAGTCTCTGCATTCCTTATAAACATCTTTTTAGAAAATCACTTTTCTCCTCCAAATCCCTCCTTAAAGTCTTTTTGCTGTGGTGTCTGAATAAATGCTGGACAAGACTTATCTCCTGGTGTGCTAAGAATTCTGCCTGTTGAGCTGACCAATGTCAGATGTTCAAGAAAAAAAAAAAAAAAAAGGACTGGGGAGTCACTATTCACTGTATTTTAGCTGATCTTCAGTAACTGTCTGTGGTTGTGCTCTTAGCCTGTGGCAATACATAGTAATTTGAGTTAGCATAGTCGTCTTTCACTGACTGCAAACTGCAGTGTTTTATAGTTAAATATTTATTAACGCTTGAAACCCTTTTCTTGCACTAAAACTGTGCCCTCTTTCACTGAGAGCTAATGTAACATGAATTGCCTTGCATTTACTGCAGGCTGAGAGTGTGCGCATGGACAGTTACCTGGCAGTTATCTAGCATAACAGTAACCATACAGTTCACAGCAGACTGCCCATAATTCAGAAGGCACAAGGTGAAATACTTGTGACTGGGGAGAGGGATGGAGAATTACACAAAAATCAGAAACATAATTTCACTTTGATTTTCGCTTCCAGTCTGTTAGATTTTAGGATCTTGTGTGCTTTCAATTTCTCTACTGTAGTAAAGTATGTGCTCCATTGACCATATATTATTCTTGATGTTTCTTCAAATAGAAAATAGGAGGCATTTGAGGATATAATTTTGAATATGGCAGTGGCATTTTCTTCCTGGAAATTCATCAACCTTTTAGCATGCTGCTGTGCTCTTCCACTCCCTATTCTTTCCCTCCTGGGAAAGAGAGTTTGAGAGAGATTGTAATTTGTGTCTTTATGGATCTGTGATATATTAGAGGGATACCGTGTAAATGCTATCTATCTGTCTATTTATTTATTTTTCTTGGAATTGTGTGTAGGTTTTTGGCGTTTGGATATAGTCAAAGAAATACAGCGCGTCAAATTTGGAGATGGGGTTAAGGTTCCTTTAAGAGCTTGTCAAATAAAAATAAAGAAAATATGTATTTATTTTTCCAAAATGAGTAATCTCACTATTGTGTTTTCCAAGCTACACTTAAAGCTAATATGTGAAGAGTAAAAATAATAGTTAATAATGATATGGTTTAGTCAGTATGCTGTGTTTTATTCTTAAAAGCATTTCAGCAGAGGCTCTCTTCTGGTAGTTATTTTTCAGAGAAAGAAGTTAAGTAACTGTTACGTAGACTGCATGAGTTTTTAACAAAAGTGTTACCAACTTTGGGTTTTATCTCAGTAAATGTATTCATATTTTTTCTGAAACTATATATTCTACATTTAGTATTACAAAAAACTGTACTACAAGCATTCGTGTTAATAGCTTAGTATTTTAGTCCTTCACAAATTAATGCCTGTGGTAACTGGATGATTTTAGGCCTGTTCTTATAAACAAGGCCTTACTGATGTGCAAGGAACAGTAATATGTGGCAAAAACTCCACTTTAACCAAGGTAAGCAGTATAAATGGGGTGTAGGAATCCCCTGTTAGACTAAAAATCTCCAAGAGAAAATCTCCAGAGCCTACAAATTAAAGACCTCCAATATCATTTTAAAATAAAGCCTTTTATGTAGTAGGAGAGCATTTTTTCAGCTGATAATCAAATGACACTATTATGCAGGCTTACTAGATTTGCAAATTTACAAGTTTTTACAAGTCAGTTGGGTCCCTTCCTCAGGAAATCAGTTTAAGTTTTTTTTTCCTGTATTGACTCAAAGAGCTTGGTTGTCCTTAAATCCTTCTGAATATATTTGCCTTATAATTTGGCGGCATTGAGTCAACACCCTTATAGGAACTGTAATGCAATAAAAAGAGAAACTGTTCAATATAGTTTCCAGTTACCTTAGGATTGGATTTGGAGAAACTGGAATGTACACAATAAAACCTGTACAAGACTTAAGTTCCATGTTGTTTTGGAAGCAACCCGTGCTTTTCAACATAAAATACCATTTGAAAGCTTTGCTCTGCTTCTAATGGTTGTAAAATGATAAAAATGAAAATGTGTGTGACTCTTGACATCTGCATTTTACTGTGTTTAATTTTTGGAACCATACCTTTGTGGAATTGAGAACTTCATAGACAAGTAACTAAGCACCAATGTTTTTACTCGGTTCATTTTTTTATTATAGTGAATATTTTTGCTCTACCATGTTCTGCAGTAAAATTCTTCATAGCTCATTTACATTTTTTACACAAAAAATATGTAGGTTCAGATGTGCTTGGTGAACTCTGTTTTGTAAAAAGTCTTTAGGTTACACTGGAATCTGCAATATGCATCATACTTGCAAACAGAATTTGCAAAATTTAGTTTTTTGTATGTAGTTAGCAGTGAAGTTGTTACAAATTTCTTGTGTGTATCCAGAAATAAATTTGTCCTTTATTTCAGTTATGAATTTTTTGCATTTGACCATATAATTTTAATTGTGTTTTCATTTTAGTTTTGCAGATAAAATTAGTGTGAGGTAATTAGTTATATTTTGGCAAATGATTACGATAAGAAAGAAAATTGTATTTGCATACATCTGTGAAGGAGAATATTGTACCTGATGTATTTCCAGTGAATAATTTCTAAGACAGGTAACTAAATGGGCTCCACTGTAGTAATTTTTCCTATTTTCAACTTATTTTTAGTTGACTTGGAGCATACGCGCACAGTGAAAGCTGACAAACACCAACGATTTTGTCAGGAAAACAATTTCAGTAGCCATTTTGTGTCGGCCAAGACAGGAGATTCTGTAAGTAAGAAAAATAAAGTCCTTGTAGATGTCTTTTGTTTTTGATTTTTTTTTTAAGAAAGCCATTATTCTGGGATATGTTGTAACAGTTTTATTATACTTCATGTATCAAACTGTGGAGAACTTTGGCTGCTTGCAAGTCCTTTTTGCCAACCTGCTTGTGTGAAAAATAGATCTTTATATAAGTATTTATGTTCTTTATTAATTACAGTGGCTTCTTATCTGATTTCCAGTTTGAGGTATAGATTTTAATATCGAAATGGTCTAGCTTATACATCAGCATGAGAAGTGAGACCAGGTGGATCTCTGTTTGCTGTCAGCCTGTAGCTAAATGTATTTCTTCAATCCAGATGGAGTCTCGTCTATAGACCATCAATATAGAAATTTTCAGTGGCTGATAATGTCACAGGACCCTGTTGTAGCCAGAGTTTTTAATATGAGTCCTGAGCCATGATAGATACTTCCTCTGCAGGTCCACTGAAACGTGAACATTCTGGTATTTGTAATGCTTTGCAGAGCACATTTTTGAACAATCTTTTTGCTCTGAGCTAGCTAGGTTATTTGTTTTAGTTGGAAGCCTATGGAAGAAAAGGTTCTTTTTCAGTTGACTGTATCAGTCAAATTAAATCACAAACGATACCGTTTTGCTTGATTTCTGTCACATGGCTAATGACTTTATCATTCCCATAAAACAGTCCTGTATCTGTCTACTATTTGTGACAACATACTTTATTTTTGTGTTATTGAATGGTAAGATCATGTTCGATTATATGGGAGTAATCACTTGTGTTAAGATTTTTGATGAAACTTCTACATTGGACTGCCTGATTTTATAAGATAATTGTTACTCTGTAAAGTCTGACAATACTGCTGTTACAAATGCAGTGAATCCTGATTCTCCTTATACTTTGTGTTAAATCTTTGGCATAAATTTTTGTTTAAAGTGTGAAAATTCAAGCTTTTTATGCTAGAAACAAGAAAAATTTTATAATATTTCAGTCAATGAAGTGTGCATCTGATAAAATGTATTCCTTTCTCAAGGAGAAAACCTTCTTGTGGGATTTGGTAATAGGAAGAAAAAGCAGTTCTTTTTATAAGGTTGATATATTTAACATTACACATTATGAAGGAATCTATATTACAACTTTTAAATTGATTCATGAATTAGAGCAGCATCCCAGTGTATGTGCTGATTGTACTTTTTTAAACTTACTGTTTAAAAACAAAAGTAAATCTGAACATACCTAGAAAGCATTAACCAGAAATCTCTGTTTAAATGTCTACTAATGAAAGAAGGTGTGAGGTATAGTTTACAATAGTTCATTTTTAGTTTCAGTACAGATTTGAATTAACTCTTCCGCTGTTAATGCACACTGGCCTTTCAGAATCTTCATGTGTTTGGGTAGTTGTGCAGGAAAGACAGCGTGTTTACCCTGGACGGTGATTTAAGAAGAGGCCATCCATTGCTACCGTGGGTATAGACTAGAGGAGTCTTAAATACTCAGTTAAGATAAATGATTTATTTTGTTTACCTGAGATCTTTCCAGCAGACTCGTTTCCAAAAGATAATTTTGTGTACGTTGTAAAGCCCCAAAGTCATCTCAGGGGAGAAAAACTTTAATGAAAGATTTAGTATAGCTAGCTGTCTTACTGTCAATTAAATCGCATAACTAAAGCACTGAGCTCGTGCCTGATGTTTTGTGCACAAAGCATCATCGTGGCAGGTGATCTAGCTCAGTACACCTGACAGCCTGGTGTGGGTTGAAGTAGGTCTCTGGAAAAGGCAAGCCTGGTCAGGATTTCCTTTCTTGCTGCATGGATGCTAGTAGAGAAGACCAGGATAGACCAAGTAGTTAGAGAAAGAAAAATTATTTTGGAAACTACCATGGCTTGTTGGTTGTGCCACTAATTTGTTACTACTTTCTATGTCAGGTGTAAGAGGAGATTGTGCAAATGGTATTTTTTTGAATTTTCATTAAAAATGACTAAAAGCACTTACACAGGCTTTACCTTTTGGGGGTGGCAGCTGCGTGATGAAAAGCAATGTTTGTTAGTTGTTTAGATTGTGAGCTCAGTTGAATAATGATGTAGATAAAATATAATGTGTAGCTTGAAAATAGTGTTCAACAGCATTTTAAGCTTAAGCAGCTTCTCTTTAAGATCTGTTGTGTTCTTTAATGTCATTTAAAATGTAGCTGCCTAAACAGTAAGGTGGTTGGATGGCATTGAGGTGAAGTAAAGGAGTTATTTAAGATAGCATTGCCACCCCATGGTATCTGTCAAACCATGTCCAAAATCTAATTCTGCTAGGCTGGTGCATGCTGTACAGCATCTTGCTTGTTTCCTAGATAACTTCTGTTCAGTAGAACACTCATAATGTTTTGCAAGACTCTTCAGAACTAATGAATCATTGCTTGGCTTTTGTGTTGCTAATGTTTTTATAAACACATGCAGTAGAGATTTTGGTGATACTGATGCACAGTTCTGTTGTTCTCAATTTCAGAAACCTACATCTCTTGCACAATACACTGGTAATATATTTATGTGCTAAACATTAGTGAATACCCTTATTCATATTTTATAGCACTGAGAGTAGTACTTGAGAGGTGGGTTGTGTAAAAGCTTGTTTAAACTTAGGTCTCTGGAGGCAGAGTAGAAGTGTTGCTGAACAGTCCAGCATACTGTTCATTCCTTGTACCATTGTTGAGTTATTTTCTCCAATTTTTAAACAAAATTGAATGTACCAGATGAGGTTATTTTCAGATCTGTTTTGTACAGGTCATAATTTTGTATATCTCATTGTTTACAGTTCAAGAATGGTTTGATATATTTGAAAGAACCTCAAGGATGTCTGTTTTTAATCATTTAAATGTAATTTAATTTTTTTTCCATAGGTCTTCCTGTGTTTTCAGAGAATTGCTGCTGACATACTTGGCATCAAATTAAACAAAGCAGAACTGGAACAATCACAGGTGATTTTCCACAAATACATGTTTTTTCTTAGTATTAAAAAAATCTCATTGCAAATTAGTAACTGTCCTTTAAAGCAAGCTGCATCTGTTTTTCTGAAGACAATTATTGATTTTCACAATAGCTTTTTTTAGTATGATAATTCTTTGTTTATCCATCATGATAAACTCGATGAAACAAGAAAATGTACGTTAAAAAAATTAGGAATAAACTTTAGTTTAAAAGCTGTTTGTTTAAAAATAGTACTTAAAATTGTTTTAGAAGTGAAAACCTCTATATATGTATGCATATACAGGTATCATGGAAGACACTCATATATACAGTAATTACTGTACATTGATGCCATACATTTTTTATGATGATTGTTCTTTGTTAATACTTTCCATATTTAAAAACAAATTTCATTTTAGAACACTACAATTTAACTGATAGAAGGCATAAGCTTCTGTGAGTGGAAATGTTCTAAATCAATCTTCATTGTAGTCATACAAGAATAACTATTATTTGTCAGTCACAGAGTCAGGAATTAACTATGTCAAATCCTGTGTTTGGTTAATCTCAGATTTTAGTTTTCATTGTGTGCCTGTATAATACAGGACAAGAATACTTCCCTCAGTAGTGACTGTCTGCCTCGGGGAAGGAATATTGACTTTGTAGTCACTGTTTCCCATTTTATTCTGATGTGCAGTTGAGAAGTAAATCATGTTCTGGTTCAGTATGCCCATTTTCAACAGCAGGCAGACCTGTGGTATCATGTGTTTGGATAGCTGTTATGGCTCTCTGGCATCTGTGGTTGTTTTTCTTGCTGTACCAGTCCCAAATAATCTCCCCCTAAAGGAGCTGCATAGTTTCTGCCCTTACATTTTGTGGTTTTTTCTTTGTTAGGAGTGTTATCTTAGGGGTTTTCTGCCATTTCCTCTGCTGTAAAAAAGGGCTGAGAGAGAGAGGAGAACACTTCCCAGAAATAGGTGGGAAGGTCATCAAGAAGGTTGTCCTCCATTGTCTTATATTGGTTAGCAGTGACTTAGGGATGTGAATTATAGTGATTTCGCTGTGAACGCATGGCAAAACCCTTCTGCGTGTCCGGCTCTGAACTGTAGCAGAGCTTTATTGCAGTTCATGCTGTTCAGTAATTGATGTATGCAACATAGCTTTAACGAGAACGTTGTTTTGTGACCTGATGGATTAGTGGGGAAAAGATGTTGTCACAAATTTAAAGTAGAACTACATTAATTAAAATGTGAGTGTTTGCTTAATTGTATCTACCAGAGTTGGAAGTCACTTAGTTTTTAATCAGTGAAAATTAGGAGATCAAAAATGTGTTAATTGTTTAAATAAGCAATCAAGCCAGAGGTTTTGTAATATAACCCCTTTTCTTTACCACCTCCTTGTTCCTTTTCCCTGCTTCTAAAAGTAATTTTTCTGCCAGGAAGACTGTGTGCATAGGTTTAAACCAAAAAGATTTTATACAAACCCAGTTTCAGAAACCTCAAAAATAAAGATTATACTACTGAGGCAACTCTTAATATGTAATGACATTTGAGATTACAATATGCTTATTTTAAATTTACTTACTGAATCAAAAGGTAGCTGTTCTAGTGGTGTAATATTCTGCAACTGCTAGTTACTACCAACATTAAACAAGTACCACAAAATAAGTCAACAAGTTTGTTTGAAAGAAAGGCAGAACATTTCTTATATACAGCTTGGTGTCCTGCTTTTTGAAATATACAATAAGTATGTAATTTCTGAAGGTGTTTTGCCACACCAGTGTTTACAGTCTGTGTTGAAGTGGTTAACTAGAAAACTATATTGCAAACAGTGAAATGGTAAAATGTACTTACAGTGCATACCTAACAAGCAAAGCTAAGAAACTTTGAAAAGCTGTAATTTATAGGTAGAGAAATATTGTGTCTCTTCAATGATGTTTTACTACTAAGGCACCAACCATCTATTGTTCTGAGCTCTATGATTATTTGCATATAAATACTTCAGCACATAGAGAATTCTTTAATTTTTCTTTGGTTGTTTAGCTAGCACTGGAACTTAAGTCTTGGACCGCTCTGTGTTGTGTGGCTATGTGTTCCGGTAACTCAGGTATAAGCTTGTAGATAAGTATGTAAATACCTTAAATTAAAAAGAGAATATGAGATATGGAGTCATAAAGAGAATTGTAACTTTCTAAAGAAAGTGTCTGTTTTTAGGTTATTTTTAAAGTAAGAACCGCTGTATAGCCCTGACTCAAGAGTACGTAACTTTCTGTACTCAAGAATACATAACTTTCTAAAATTGGTATCAGCTTTAAGTAGGCTTCTTGCTACCTTGGCATTGTAATCACAATTTTTAATTTTGTTAAGCAGATCAACGGAATATGCAAGATGTCGATCAGACAAAGTTGATATTACACAAATTGCAGTAGCAGTAGCCTATGAAGTTAATATGCATTAATTAAATACTCATTGTGGCCCACATATTACCATTAATGTAAATCCAAGCTATACTGATTAAAAAAAAAAAACGGTAAGAAAAACCAAGAACAACAACAAAAACACAACAACAGAAGTAGAAACAAAGCCAGTAAATGGAGCTGGACAGAAAAGAAACTTGGCTGTCACTGCTCAGCTACAGCAGAAATCACTGTGTGGTGCTATGCTGTGTGGGGAGCTGAAAGCAGCTGCCTGACTTGGCAAGGTTCTGCTAATCAAGCGTAGTTTCCATCTGTTCCGATCACGCAATAGCTCTTTGTTACCACTGCAATGTTTGCTTCCTTTCAGGGCGCTGTTCTGAGCAGCCATAGGAATTGCCCAAGTTTAAGTCAGTGAGAAACCGATAGGAATTGTATTGGAGGGTGGATCTGTCTGTTAGCTGTGTCTTCAGGTTCGTTGTTGTATGGAACCAAATACCTTGGTCACTTCTTAAGATAGGAAAGATAAAACCTCTACATAAAATTGGAGAAGGAAAACTTTAACCTTCGTATCCTCAGGGAGATGAATAGAAGGACGTTTCTTGAGAGAAATTTGTTCATCTGCAGTAGAGAAGACTAATTGAGGTAATGTGTTGATGCTGTTTCCCAAAAGTACGGAGCTGGTCTCTTGGCTGGAAAGAGGTGGTTGGTGTTGATGGTGTTGCCATTTATAGGTCTCTGGTCTACCACAGACTTTTTGTACGACAGGTACAGATTCCTTAGCATCGTGGTGGTGGCGTGTCGTGTCCCCCCCAATGTGTAAAATGGGCACGGGGCTTCCTTAAATTATGTGAATGTGTTCCTTAAAATTTTTAGACATTTAATACTCTAGCTATTGGACTATAAGAGTAGACAGATAGATAGATAAATGCTATAAGGAAGCAAATAAAAAAATACAATAGTAAGTGTGAATCATCCTTAAATCAGTAAGTATGCAAGTGTTGACTTAGGTTAAATTTTTAAACAAAGAGTAAAATGCATTTTAGTTTTTAGAGGTGCACTATTTACATGCTGGATTATATCTTTGAATTTTCCATATTTGGTGTAATGTGAGGTTTCCTCATTTTGGAAAATGAGAAGGTTGTTTCTTGAATATGTTTGTCAGAGAACATTAGATGTCTTCATTCAATGTAGGTGGTAACAAAGTGTAAGATGAAGTACTGAGTTTGTGTAAAATGCCAACAGTGAAATGCTGTATGTGAGTTATGCTTTGTTATGCATTTCTTCATTATTACTGGTTGTCTAATATTGAGAATACTGTTTATAATTTCTCGCATTTTTGATTTTATGCCTGAAGATCATATTTCTTGTGTTTAAGATCAATTATGTTTGTCACAGTCACTAGGAAGATCTTAGAAGTGACTGACAGGTGGTTAGAAATAAGTAAAAGGAATCCCAAACACATTATTTTAACTTGTATGAATTTGTGGGGCTTCACTTGTGACTTCTGAGCTTTGATGACTGGCAGAACTGCAGAAAAATTAACAGCAAAACTTCTGTTAATTAACTGCAAGGACAAGCCTTAGAAATGGAATTATTTGCCATGCATTGTTTTAGAAAACAGCTGCAGCAGTTGGAGACATTAATGCAACCCAAGCTACTTGTTACTGCCCTTTTGCTGGAATCTGTCACTCACACAGCAGAATCAGAAAATGGAAGGTGACCATGTGCCTTGGCCACATCAGGGTGAAGTTGAGCAGCTTAGCTTAAACTGCTGCTGAAAGCTGTTTAAGTGAAGCTGCTAGACTTTGTACTGAAGCGGATGAGGTGCCAAGTATGTTACCTTCCACCAGCTCCCCTTTGGCAGCAGTGATCTCCAGCAGAGGAATAGGACAGACATTTGGGGGTGGTAAGTTTTTAAACTATCTCAGCTGAAGCTACTAAACCTTGTCTGTTAACATGCTGAGGTGACTGTTAATCAAGCCTTTATTTGGTCAAAACTGTGATGAAACAAAGAACTAGATTACTTTTTATCCATGACTGGAAAGTAGAGCATGTTTTTGAAGTGGAACGGTTCCAAAGTAAGAAAACTGCAGATTCTGACTTAATTTCAGTCCCCAAAATATTCTCCCTTTTAAATAGCAAGGGTCTGATGAAATTTGAGGAAATTGCTCCTTTACTAATCAAATGTTTTTCTTTCTATATTTGTTACTTTCAAGTATAGTGTAAAAACTGCATGGGGTGCAGCTTTGTTCCTTGGCATTGGCAAGAGCTAGCATTTTTGTAAGTGCTGTGTAGTTTTCTCTTTAACTAAATGCCAGCTCAGCGAACTAGATATGTGTGCCAGCCTTGTACAGTAAAATGTTTGGCAAATAAGTCAGATCTGGAATTCAAAGCACCTGCCCCAAGGAGGGTTATTTCTCATTGGCAGTGGTTTGAACCATGGCAATGATATGCGTGACAGAGAAACTGATACACAGAAGCCCAAGTTTTTAATTACCATGAAGTCATTAAACAAAATGTTGCAGTGGTATTTTTTCACTCTTATTTAGATGAAATTCCTTGAGAAAATCCGAGTCATTTATGATAGTCAGTTTCTTGCTACAGTGTGCCTAAGCATGGGTCACTAACCTGCCTGTGTTTACAGGATGGGATTTAGACCAATGTTTTGAGGAACAATAAATTGCCTACTGATTGCAAGACTTCCCCCCCCCCCCCCCCTTCGCACAAAATTTGGACTGACAAAACTACCCCCCTACTCTAGTCAAAAGTTTGGTATGAAGAAACTAGGTCCTGTGAGGTCAGATAACACTGTTTAATGCTAAAACTCCTACTACTACCTTACATGGGATTTGGCAACATTTCCCTTGATAACATCAGGCCAGAAGTCCAGTAAATCATGAGTGTTGTCCACTAGATAAGATAATATGAATGTGATCAATTAAACTCAAGAAGAGTACATCGGCAGCTAATAAATCCAGATCCCTTACCAGCTAATTCAGTTATTACTGCTTGTTTGACATACAGGTTTTATTTACGGAGGTAATCTTTAATGTATACTGTTTCTATATTCATATAATCCAATTTGTATAGAGTTTCCTTTAAAATAATAGTGTTTATTCATTTATCCATTCATTTTTAACCTTGCAAATATGTTGTGTAAAAGTTGAAGTGTTTAAAAAAAAAATACTGAACTGCTTTAGGGTATCTTTCACAGCAGACCTACCTTTTCTGTTACTTCTTTGCTGAAATTGTTCTGTGAATTTTTCTCCCTTTTGCTTGAACACTGAATTAATAGTGAGAAAACTTTCAACAGTTTGTCTTTAAGGGGAAAAATGAGAGCCTTTTATATGAAGTAAAGAAAAATCAAAGCTTTGCAACACTTAAATGTGAGGTTGTTAATTTATGTCACGGTTTTTGGTTATGTATTTAGTTATAATGCAAGAGGTATGTAATGGAAAAGATGCATGTGTAAATCTAGTGCCCTTGTTAAAATTGTTAATAGGAAGCTGAGTGATGTGATATTGAAGTACTCTAGACTTAAAGGAATAGGCCATTGTCATCTTTTCCTCCCATGGACTGCTTTCCTTTTTATTCTGTCCCTTCTCTTGCTTTGATACACTTCTGTTGATTGCATGTATGAATATTTCACTTTGGTGCTTTGAAAGTGCATGTCCTTGAAGAAGCTTGAGAAGCAGCCCCAGTGGTGATGGTACCGCTTTCAGCTAGACATGTTGCTCTTGTATCTGAAAAGAAATACACTTTTGTTTTGCTTCTGCATAGTCTTTTATGTCATTCATGCATTCTTTTCAACTACTGATCAATCTCCCCTTTTTTTTTTCCTTTGCTTTTCTTTCTACATTCTTCTCCTTGCCCTCTATCCATTATGTTGATACATGATTAACAGCATGTTGTCAGGGCAGAACTAGTGAAATATCCTGAAGAAGATAACCAACGTCACAACACTTCCAACTGCCAGAGCAAGGTCTGCTCAGTGCAGTAGTTCAGGTATTGATGGAAAACGGGTTGTTTTTTTTTTTCAAGCTGCATTGCTTTTACATGAAGTAAGAACTGTTACAGTAAGTTCTATTGGAAAAAACATGTTTTGTATTTGTAAGCACGTGTAATAGTTAACATATTAATTTGGAACTCTGTGTACAATTATATGGTGTTTCTAATAACCGGGTAGTTCACAGAAACTTTGAAATACTTCATGCTACTGTATTAGGAAGGTTCTTGAGTACTGTACATTCAAAACGTTACATAGCTGACTGAGATGGAAATGGACACAAAATTGGAATCTCATTTCCTTCTCCTCGTATAGGAGCCACCAACAGTCTTATTAAATGCTTTGTAAACAGAATGGGTAATATCTGTTGGATCTGTGTTAGAAAATAAATATTTATGGTATGCAGAGGTTCTTTTTATGTTAATTTAGTTTTTAGTCAGTCTGCCTATCAAAGCTTTTTTGAAATATGGTTGTATTTGAAATTTGCTTTGAATTCTGTGCATATTTTCCTGTGAATTGCTTGGAGTAAAGATGGAAAGACAAACTTACGTACAATTTCCAGTTACAATTTAGACAATTATTCTTACAGAATGCATACCAGAGTCTTTGTAAACAAATACTGGTTTATTATTTTCATACAAAACAATTTTCATGGAAGTAAAACTGTATTCATTGCTTTTGCAAAAAAGTCCTGTTCCTTTTGTAGTGTTGTGAAAACCTACCAAGGCACTTCCTTCTGCTTAGTATGGATAAACTGGTATTTAGAAAGAGAATTAGCACCTGATAAGACTTTCTGTAAGGTAATGAAAAATGCCCTGAACGGTGTCTGTTTTGCTTATTTTTTTCCCTTCATATTTCATAGTAAAATGTCTGTTGAATGCTTTGCCAGCATGAAGATTATGTTTTCTGATTGTTACTGTGTTTTCTTTTGTGACAGAGGGTGGTGAAGGCAGACATTGTCAACTACAGTCAGGAGCCTGTGACAAGAACCGTTAATCCTCCCAGAAGCTCAATGTGTGCAGTTCAATGACCATGCTGTTCTTCTCTGTTTTGATTCCTTTGGTGGTCCTCCTACCTTGACACAGGCTCAGGGATTACCAGGAACTTTGTTTTAACAGTGACCATCGCAACAGTGCAGTTAGAGGTTTCAAAAATGTGTTGCACCATTGTACGTTGAGAAGCAGCAGGCAGTTTTTTGACTGAAATTGGAATATGATACCGCACACTTTGAAAAATTAAGATCTATATTCCTTTAAATTATATTTAAATAAAGCAGTATAACTGTGGTTATATGTTTCCTCCTATCTATCTGACTGATATTGGAATAAAACTGGATGAAGAAGTCCTGCATTCAGAATACTTTCAAAGATATCACCAGGGAAGGGTGTTTTGCCGAAGCATTTTTAAAATTTTTTTCCATATTTTTTTTTCTCCTGTGATCTAAAGCAACACTCAGCAAAATGTAACTTGGAAAAGCTATTGCTGGAATAATTTTACGCACATAATATATTTTTATCTAGGGATAATTTGGAAAGTATTCCATTAATAATATATATACATAGTGCAAAATGTATAAATTGTATCTGGTAAGAAACAGTGCTTAAAATAAAGCTGTAATATAGTAGTTATTTTTCTGAAGTCTCAAGTTGTCTCCATGGATGATCTGAAAAATGCTAATGGTTTTGTATTTTTATTACCACATCAGCATTACTTCTTGCAGTAGTAGATATGCTCATATGTCTTCATGAATATGAATGAACCTCAGTCAACAGTTTGGGCTGTAAATGTTGAGTGATATATTCAGCATGCATTAGAAACTGTTGATAGATCAATTAGGATCAGTCATTTTTAATAACTAACTGACTCTTGGCCTGGTACTCTTTTCTTTCTAGTTCAGAATAAACAACAAATAAAAAGCTGTCTACTCTGTGATCATCACATCTCTCCTCTCTTCCTTTTCTAGCACTCTTTTAGACATGCAGTTCTCTGCTGGCACATCTGAATAGAAAGCTAAGGAGAGGGGAAAAGAAAAAACCAAGCCAACTTGATTCCAAATGAGAAATCTTCTCCTGTTGTAACTCTAGAGTGTGTTTTCTTATAAAGTACAACAGAACATTTGGAGATGTAGAAAATTAATGAGTCTAAATGAAGGAAGCTTGTATATCATAAGTGAAAATGAGAAGGTCCTTTAAGTGAGTGTTCCTATTAAGCTGTTCAACCAAATGCTTAGTATTTGGAGCTATTAAACTATTAGTAGTTTAATAAAATAGTTAAACTGTTTTAACTATATGGAAAAAAAATTGCAGATGGCAATCGCAAAATGTCCTATTTATTATTATTTTGGTATATTCCAAGTTCATTGGAAAACTAAGTTCATTTTTAAACTGTTCAGCATGCAGCTTGACACATAGTTTTATAACTACACAGTAATGACTTAGTGTTGTAATATTTTGTCATTCAAATGTGGGAAATTCTAAGAAACAAGCTGAGATACTGTGAAATTATTCTACGCTAAGGTAGGTGTGAATTTGCAGTAAATTATTTATTCTAGGATTACAGTCAGAGTTCTTGCTCCTGACCCATGGAGTTAGTGTCCCACTGCATAACTTTATCTTACAGTTAAATTTACAGGAAAAATTTCTTTACTGAAAGAGTGGTCAGGCATTGGAACAGGCTGCCCAGGGAAGTGGTGGAGTCACCATCCCTGGAGGTGTTTAGAAAACGTGTAGATGTGGCACTTCAGGACATGGTTTAGCAGGCATGGTGGTGTTGGGGTGACAGTTGGTCTTGATGATCTTAGAGGTCTCTCCCAACCTTAATGATTCTATGATTCTGTAAATGCAACTAGAAGGTGAACTGTCTTCCACTGCCACCAGATGAGAACTTCTGTTCAAACAGTTCTTCTGAAGTAGCTGATGAGTTCACAGGTTAATGCCCTCCAAAGCATGTGGTAACGTTTCTTTGAACCCTCAGATTTCTTGGTGTGTCCTGAACTCTGCCCATATGTCCAAATATTTGTGAGAACTGCTGCCTCTCTGAGGAGCTGAGCGCAACCTGGCTCAGCCAGATGGCTGGAGCAGTCTTTCTCTAGCACGTGAGCCAACTTCATAGTCCTGCTTCCCAAGTGGTATGTAGTATGGTCTTAAAAGCCAAACAGTGCTTTTCTCTTAAAAATTTCTGTAATTTTACTATTCAGAAGAATATGCTTTTTCATAAGTTGATACACAAAGCCCATTATTACCCTGAATAATAAAAGACTTTAGCTTTTACATTTGGGGTGGTCCTGCAGTACGAAGGCTGTGATACATGTCCTAGTCCAAGCTAGTTTACAGGTGGATTTTGTCTTCATCTCATCATAATATTTTATTCTCAGTGTCTGTTTCGCTGGCTGTCTTTCACTTGTACATCCTTTTGTGTTTTATTCCCATTGATCTTTTCATCATTTTCTGTGTTAAAGCCCTGCCTTCTCTGAAGATATTTTTGTTTACATTTCCAAGCTGCTCTCATTCTTCCTCTCTGAGATACATGTGTATTATTTACGCTAACCAGGAATCTCTTGTCTTCTGTGCCCCTGGCCCCTCCTTTTGCTGCCCCTCTTAACCTCCTCAGATCTTCTGTATTGTATACTAACAAAAACCCTTCCCACCCCATTTAGATCCATTACCTGTCCCCCTTTTAATCCTTACAAATGAGCTTTGCTCTTTTTGCTCGGCCCTGGGGACCCCACCTGAAGGCTGCAGATTCCAGCTGCGGTCCAAACCCTGGGCCAAACCCGGTGGGTGCTGCCTTTGAAGTGCTGCAGCAGCTGTAGCTGAAGATTCAGGGGTGCCTCTGCTGTCACTGTGGCCCGGGTTCCACCAGGTTGAGCAGAAAGGTCGGGGAGAATTCTGGAGGATTTAGCAACGTGGAGAAGAGGGCGTAGATGCTGTGCTGTGGGGAAGGCAAGGGCTCTCTGGAGGCTGGAGGGATGGAAGCAGCTCTGGTCAGAGTTGTGCGGGGGGAGGCAGGGCAGCCCCAGCCCCGTGCCTGGTCTCCTCCCCTTGGTAACATCCCGCCGCTGGTCCGCATGGTTCACGTGTGGTGGAGTTTAAGTGTCTGCCATATTAATGCACTTAAAAGTTTTTTTTCAAGGTGAGAACTGGTTGAAAGCAATTCAACAAACAGTAAGGAAGTAAAATAATGCAATACTTTCCAAAAGTGAGGCGACATATGCTTAATATCCATTGACGTGGGGAGCGGGCTGGGGCTAGGGGGAACCGTGCTTTTTCCTGGAGCTGAGGCCAGACGAAGGGAAGAAACGTGTTCAGGCCCTGAGCTTACACAGATCCACACTGGCGAAGTGATCTGCCTGCTCAGAGCTGTTGTAACTAATCATTTCAGTAACAGCTCTGCAGCTAAAAATTGTCGCTATGTTCAGCTCCTCGCTGGGGTCAGTCCTGTATCATGTGGTAGATACCCATAGGTAGATTGTGTCTGGCTCTATGTTAGGCTACCAGTGCTTTTAAAACATGGGTTTGAAGCGATATTAGACTCATGCAACTTCTTTTCTGATGTGGTTCTAAAATTTGGTGGGGACAAATGGAGTCTCTTTCACAAGCAGCAGCGTGAAGGCATCTTCGCTTACGGCCAGCTGCTGTGAGTTCCAGAAGCCATGACAAGTTCATGATCTCTCCAAATAGATCGTTCTTTTGACAGTTCATAAAAGTTGTGAAAACACACGAGGCTTCTTTTTAATGAGAATTTAAAAAAAAAAAAATTAAAGGTCACTAGAGAGATTACATGAAGTGTGCTTTTTTGAGGAATTTGAAAATCATTGGTGCTATCTGTCTGCATCATCAGGCATCTGTTTACCAAAAAAGCCTGTTCCATAAAGCAGTGTTTGGGCTTCACTGGAACCAAAGGGATTCTGGACCAGGCAGCTTCTTTTAAATGCAGAGCTAATTTCCTTGTCAGAGTGAACACTGGCTAGTTCACCTGATAATGAACATGGTAGTCAAAATTTTATGGTAATTTTATGATGAAAAATATTGTAGTAATATTTAGAGTTGGCTACTCTTTTGCTTTTTGATGATGATGGCAATTTAAGTCAAAATATTTTTCTGTTTTGCATTTGTTTTGCAATGGGAATATGGTTGCTTTTTCACAAGTGAAGGTCTGTAATCTTTGTTTCACGGTGATCATGACCTTTTTATACAAGTTGCAGTAGAGAGTGCTGTTTAGAAGGTGTCCCTATGTCATGTGTTGATCTGAGACTAAAGATTTGGGTGTCGCTGGGAAGAGCAAGTGACGCTGGAGCCTTGTCGCGATGTACCTGTGCCACGCTTGGGCCACTGCTCTGAGCTGGCCCAGCAGCTGTAACTGACTGAAGGCAAAACAAATCCCCCCGTGGCTTGCTGTCTTCAACCATTTCAAAGTAAATCTTGGTGTATCTGTACTGTCCTGTTTGTGTTTTGTCAATGACAGAAGACTAAACTGCTGTTCCTTAACATAATTAGCAATTAATTAACAAATAATTAACAATTTTATAATGGGAAATTTTCTGCAGGATAATTTTTCCTATTTAGGAATTTTTCCCGTTTAGGAAATTTCCTATTTGCTATTACTTGCATTCATTTCTGATGTTCCCCTAAAGTTTGGATGAGGGGCCTTATAGATGTGTTTAAAGTGGCATTGACTTCTCTAGAAATTATATTTATAAAGCCGTCATGATTAACTACTTTTTTTCTTTTGGAATTTGAGCATTATTTCCCAAGCAAAGAGGTTATTCTACAATGTTGTATTCTTTTCTTTCTCAGTTCAAATACTACTGCTTAATAATCGTCTGATTTCTTTAGGCTGTCTTTTATTTAAAACCAGCTCACAATCACTTAAAATGTCAAAATAGCTGAATGCTGCTGAAAAGAAAAAGGCAAAATTTATCTGTGTTTGCATAGGGGTAATGGCATACATATGAGATTAAAACTCCGGTCCAGATAATTATCCGTAGGAAGCAAATTTATACTCTGATTTCAGATGCTATGAATAGAATGTGATTAGAATTTAATATGCTGCAGTTTTATTTGCAAAATACACAGATCCTATATAAAACCTCTTTTTATAAAGTGCTCTCTAGAAGCCTTGGGGATCCCTATTTAACT